AGGCAGCTCATTGGGTACCCTGGTGGTCATTCTCTCCCTGAGTGGAGAGGCATCCATGACACAAAAAATACTGAAAAAATCATGGGGAAGGAGAGAGTTAAACTGACTTTAGGTCTGCTCTGTAGTTTTGATCATTTTCAGTATTTTCTTTTGCTGATTACAATTTTTTACCCCTAATTCCATGAGTTAAAGGAGCAGTGCTAGCTGCAGAGTATCCCAGGTAGTTAGGCCAGATAGTAGTTTCCTAATTCATAAAAAAAAAACTTTTTGCTGGTTAGCAACTCTGCACTCTAACACTGGAACTTTGTACTTTGCTTGATATATTATAAGGTGCAATATTCAGTGGAGGAGTCTATGACTGCTGTCAGAATTCAACATCATCAAGGTTCTGTTTTAATTATCAGTCTCTGAGCCACTCAAAGGTAAATCAAATCCTGCCTTTCCTTGCTTTCTTTTCCTTTCTCTTCCATCCAGGTGTTGCTCTCTTTCTCCCTCTTTGCATCACCTTCTCTCCTTTCCTTCCTTTTTTATTTTCATTTTATGTTTCTCCATTTCTTTTTTTCTTTGTTCCTCTCTCACTCCCTCCATCCTTCCATCCTTCAGATTCTATCTTAGCTTGCTTTCCTTTGCATCAATGCTACAGGTTCTTTGATCTGCCACTCTTTGCCTCATTTCCTCTTTTTCTCTGAATCTTTCTAAGAGTAACACTGGTCTGAGTCATACAGTTCTGCTTCATTACATCACAGGGTCATGCATGTCTCCCAGCAAGAAGCACAATGCAATCCAGACAACTTTGCAGCCTACCAACAGACTGTGATGGGCCAGGTTTGTGTCAAGGCTTAGCTGACCTTGAAATCAATAACTTCCTATTACCAATTAATTATCAATTAGAAACAAGGAGAACAAAGAATTCTGCAAACTAAGGAGAATCAATTATGTCATCATTTTAATGAAATCATGAAATTGAACGCTTTACATTTGATATGCCTTCTTGATTTGCACACATGCGGTATAGGTGTAATGAAAGAGTCATTTTAGTGAAGTCAAATTATTGCTACTGGTATTTATTTTGAAACTTCATCAATATAACAGGTGATAAAGTTTGTGCTCATCCATCTCTGGATAACTCCAGTCGTCTTTTGAGAATCATACGAAGCAAGGGTGCAGATGTGCTGTATGTTGGTGACCCTTTACTCCTTCAGTACACAAGTAATGTAAAGGAAGCATTTCATTAATAAAGAGCATCTTTGAGAAGTACATGATAAATTTGCACTTTTATTAACTTTCATTCCAGGTTTTGATTACATCAATCAGACAAGTCAATGAATTATTTTGGTCGATGACAGGAGTATTGGGATTTTCAGTTTTGTGGTTTTTGCCATTTTTTTGATTGGTTTTTTTGGTTTTTGGGTTTTGGTGTTCTTTGCAGTTTGCGGATTTTCTGTTTTTTGGCATTTGGTTTTTGTCAAATACAATTTTTGGATTTGGTATTCAATGTGGTTTTTGGTTTTACCTATTTGGGTTTCAGTTTCTCTGTGATCTACCTCCACTAATGCAAGAGTTTCAGCCAAGTCCATATCATTTACAAATACTTAATTTTAATTATTCTAGTTTACTCTGTAGGCTCTACTTGTCACCACCCCATCACATTGATTAGGGATTTGATAACTGGGATGTGAAAATTTATTGGTTTTGCATACAGTTTTCCATTTTGATCCAATTTTTTTGTGGCTTTGCAGTTTTGGATGATTTTTCTACAGTTTTGTGGTTTCTAATAGACCGCCATGCCCCCCTTGTAGATGGTTATCTGGCAAAAAAAGGGGGTTGATTTCCAAAGAAACTGCGATGCTGAATTGGTGGGGGATATTACAAGATTATTTGGTTCATAGTCTCCTCTACTAACTATGTTTGGTTCTATCAACTGAGTTTATGAAGTAAATTGACAGCCATAAAGAGTTTCTAAAGCTGATATTTTGTAGCCTTAGCTTAGGGCATGAAAGAGTACTTATTCTGAGGTTTTGTCTTATTTACTTTCAGTTGGAGTGATCAATTATCTACCTCGAAGTTATCTTCTACCCATGGAAATTCCAAACATGCTAGAGATGTTTTTAATGTATCCTTTTCAACATATCACTCAAAATTGTAATATGGCTTTTTTGTGCATGATTGGGTGAACTGTTCCAACATTTAACGGCTTCCAAGGTGAAGAAGCATGTCTGTAGAAAAAGTAGTCAGAGAAGTCTCAAATTTAAAGATTCTGAGAATAGATAGAGAAAGGTGATTAGAAACCCACTGAATACTGAAACACCCCAAAAACTTTTAGTAGGGCTTCATTCTCAATGTTTTCATATCTGTTTCTCAAATAATACAAAAACCTTTTGCTAATTTGTTTAGTGCAAAAAGAGGTTTTATTTAACTGGATTTATTTTCTTGGAAAATTGTATCTATTGAAGTAAAATTACAGTACATGTCCAGAACACAAAAGTTGATGTTCTGGGAGGTGATCTTATTGCAGTTTCTTCTCTTGCCAGGAGTGGCACAGAACTCAGTAATCACTCAGTTTCATGAAATTTAGTTTGTACTGAAATGCAGTTGTTAGTATTACTGTCAATTTATTGTTTTCAGCTCTGAATTTGTCGCTGTTCTGTATAATATGCATGATGCAACAAGAGTGTTTCCTTGACTTCATGAAGATATTTGGTTTCTTTATCTGGTGCTTTAGCATTGCTTAACATGGTTCCTTGTTATTCACTGGATGGTCAGTGGGCATTATTTGCTCTTGTGGACCACACACTTACATCATTTATACCAAATGAAGATCAGAGGAACATGTTGTGTAATATCATTCTCACGCTAGGAACTCTGTTGCTGGCAGCCAACATAACACTGGCTTTGTGGACATTAGGAAGTGCATAGACAGTGAAAAGCAATTTTCATTTCTCCATTCATCTGTGTACAAGACAGTTGCCAGAAGATTTGTCAAGAACAGTCTTCATGTTTCATAGAAATAATTGCTTGACAATGGACATCTGAAGGGAAACTGTCTTTCTGAGAGTTAAAGAACTGGAAAAGAACTTTGAAAAAAAAAAAAACAGATAAGATGATTACCTGAGGAGAAATATTATGCACTTGTTAACTCACTGAAGGGCCAGACAGGAAAGTATTTGGCTTGAGATCAAGAAGTCTTTGTATCATGACTGAGTGCCAAAAATTTCCTCATGTGGCCCAACCAGATTCATTCATTAGCTATTTCATCATATGAACACCAAGTTTTTCAAAAATTTTGAAATCATGTTTGAAGGTTACATTAATTTATGTAAGATGGGCACATGCTGGATGGCTACAAAAGAGGTTTATCTCTTGGAGTCAGATTTCATTGAAAAATGCAATCTATCTTCTCATTTTAGACTTTTTTCTTTTAAGGTTAACTCCACCTTTTACATTATGTTCTTGGAAAATGTATCAGATTTGTGAAAGTGCAGGGACTAGTTGGCCTTTTTTGTCATGGCACTCCTGAAACTGTTCAGATATTCACTCATCAGTAGTCCTTATGGTTTTCCACAGGATTGCCTGAGTGGGGCTGTACCAGTCATTTGACATTTGAGCATATTTACGTACCACCTGGTGGGCTAAATGTGTATAAAGGCTTTCTGATTGAAAATGTGTACTATGCAGATGGTTAAAAATCTAGAGTTCTCCTTTGTAGAGTCTTCAACTGGCAAATTTGTCTCTACTTCTGTCAGAGATCAACATTTCTTCCACTCGGAATTCTGTGTTGGGGAGTACCTTGAATGTTCATAATTTCTAATGCAGGGTTCAAACTTGGGTGATATTTCACAGATAATTTAAGCTGGGTATATTAAGAGATGTGAAGTCTAAAAGTGAAGGTATATGATGTACCATCAATATTGGGGGTCAGACTTGATCAATAAAATGAAATTTAGTCATTTGCTTTGGATACAATTTGGATACTAATAACAAAAAAAAATTAACAAAGCTAGTCTGCTTTGTACCTTTTTCTTTTCTTCTTGTAATCTCAACAAAAGGTTTCAGTGTCTCAATTGTCAGAATCTTTGTCATTATGAAATACCACTACATAATTTACTCAGCTACATGTGATCAAGCCCTTAACTTGTCTTATCAACCTGAGTTTCAGTGTATAACAGGTCAGCCTTGATACCTTTCTTTCATCTGTAACTCATCCAAAAGTAAAGTCATCTCACAAATTCAAAAATATTTATTAATTAATTCGAATATTATTCAAATATTTTCAAATTATACTACACCTACCTTGAAAGTAGCCTTTCCACTTAGACACTCTTTGGTCCTAACTACACACGAGTGTTGGCTTCCTAAAGAGTGACTGTGCGGCAGGCTACTTAGAAATGGAAAATTAGCAAATATTAAATAGTAATTATTGATAGGATCAAGTTGTTTAATAAATATACCATCCTGATAAATGGATGGAAACTGGTGATTGAAATTAATTCAGTGTTGTATATTAGTTCTTCAAAATGTTTTCATATTGTCTCCTGACTCAAGGTTTTACATAAAAATTTATTTGCATTTTCGGTCGTGTAAACATTTTTTCATAAAAAATATTCGTTATCGTTGGTATTTAGGTAATTGCCTCGACTTTGTGAAGCGGGAAAATAGGTCAGGTGACAAGGGTTTAAAAAGAAAGATTCTCTCATAACATTTTTTATTGAAATTTTGTGGGTCATCGAGGAAATGTAGCAAAGCAAACTGAGGAAAATGTTGTAGACACTAACTCTATCTTGTTAATTACATTATAGTTTCAGCCCACCAAGATTAACCATGGACACCACAAATCACATAATCTAGTGCAAGTAACTCTGGATGCTTAATCCCTGGCTGATCTTTACCTTAACGAAGCCCTGTCATCCACAGGAGTGAATCAAAAATCAATAGTAAAGTTCTGCTGAAGAGTTTCCTCTAGGCTGGAAATTATCAGAAGGCTTTAAAAGCAAACATTTTGGAAAGAACTATTTCAGTCACTTGAAAGGATGCATAGAGAAAAAAGCCTTAGTGACTTTTGATAATTTTTTGTATCCCCTTGTGACAATGGGATGTCACAAGGGGATATGTCATATCAATGTCACATCAAAAGAAACTTAGAGCTGTATTCCAGACATCCAAGCAATTAATATAAAAATCATAGAATGATTTGAATTAAGTAACCTTTAAAAAATGGGCTTTCTTGGATTGAAATAGAATGGCTCATCTTTATATATGTTTTGCAACTACAGAAAATATGGTAAGGCATAACCAAGTCACAAGAATAACTTGCAGTAATGTTACTTTTTTTAATTGCATATTAAGCATATCATTCATTCCCTCAAACATTAACTGAATAATAGTAAGATCTAATATATACATAACAAGTTGCTGTGGTTTTCTCTATGAAAGTAATTATCCTTAGAACAGTTTCTTTTCAGAAAAAAAGGCTATCAAAGTACCAAAACACCTTGTAAATACGAAAAGAGTTTATATACATGTATTTGAAATTCTCTTCATAAAAGAACACCAGTTTCTCATTTGAAATGTTCAAAAATTAACAAGAGGCAGATGAACTTCAAAGACCAAATTATTGAGAACAGTCAGTAATGAGATTTAATCTTGTTCAGCGGCAGCATCTTCTGCAGGTTCAGAATCTTTTGGCACTGATTCAGCTGGTGTGTCAGCAGTGGGAGCTTGTTCACTGCCCGCATCCTCTCCAGCAACACTATCCTCCTCAGGTTTATCAGCTGTTTCTCTCCCATCACCTTCTGCTGCACCATCCTTGTCACCCTGTTCTCCTGCTTCCTCTGCCTTAGCCTCTGTTACTGCTTTGGCTGCAATCTCTTCAGCTTTTTTTCTTTCTTCTGCTGCCCTGGCTGCTGCCTCTTGCTCTACAGCTAACCTTCCTGTCTCCTCAAGCTTATAATATACTTCAAAGCGCTTTTTGACAACATCTCGAATGATTGCTAGAAAGTGAAAATAGGACAGTATAAGAATCAATTAATACCTTTTTGAAATGCTTTCTTCTATGTCTTGACAAAGAACTTCTAATTCTAATCTAATTATAATCATTTGCTTTTACTGAAATTTTGCTGTGAAATCTTTCTTCACATGTCATGTATTTTAAATTTCAGCAACACAATTACTAATGATCTCCACTCAACTTCTATTCATTCCCATACTGCTGGTCAAAAATCGGATAAAATTAAAGTTACTCAATGGTAAGAGTTATTTTAAACTGTTTGACGATACTGTTGTCCAAGCAAAGTTAGAAACACCAGTACTATTTATTGTAAATGATAAAGATCCATCAGTACTTACCATCAAGGACAGTTCTTGCGACAACACTTTGATTTAATTCACCCTCAACTTTTTCCAACAACCATGGCATAAAGTATGTTTCTACATCTGTAAAGGTAAAATATTTCTTTACTGAAAATATCACTTGCACCTTTTGAACAGCAACCAAAGACAAATGGCCTTACAACCAATGATAATGACAAAAGAGGTAACCAAAGTTCTTTTTTTTTACTTTACCTCTTTCCACTGGATCGTAGAAATATCCATTTTCATTGAGTGAACCAAACACAGAAGGTACTAGATCCGCAAGGTAACTCTGTATGTTAGAAAACAAAACATTTCGTATTCAGATGAGATATGACTTAATTTAGTAGGCACATTTCAGATCATACTTTAAAGCGGCTTGATTATTCAAAGAAATTCATAACTATGCTAAGAACTGAATTGATGGTATTGAAGAAAGCAAATACCAAAATACCAAAGGGTTGCCGGTTAGGATTCAGTTCTTGTTAAAAACAACATCAAGTTTTAAATATTAAGTTCAGGCCTGGAAAATTCTTGTTCTGCTTTATCAAAGAAAGACTGACTATAAGTAACAAAATGGTGAAGTTCCCAAATTTTACTCACCTGAGCAAAGGCACGTGCTGATATTTTTTGACCAGTTTCTCTTTCTTTTCTTAATACTTCAGCCTGTTGTTTCATTCTCCGCTCTTTCTCTTCTCTGTGCCGTCTTTCTTGTTCTTCTAATCTTTGTGTCTCAACGAGTTCAGCATTTCTGAGTTCCTTGAACCGCCTCTGTTGGGCTCGAAGATTTGAGAGTTCTTCCTCCTCCATCACTTCTAGAAGAGCCTGTTCGACTGTTTTACCAACAAGCACCTCTAGGATTGGTTTTACCTCGATGTCAAAATCGAACAACTGTAGAAACAAAAAAACAATATTCTAGAATGAGTTGAAAATTCAAAGACAAAGTGCTCTCAGCAACAGGTGTACTGAAACCTTTTAATTTTAATTACAAATTTCTACTGGCAGCAAGAAAAAATATTGCCTTGTAGATATTTCCCCTGCCATTTACTTCTCCTTTAAATTGTAGTCAAAAATAGTGTGATCTGCTCATGAAGCAAACATTAAATAAACACAAAATTTTTGGAGTAATGTACAATCTCAAATGCACCACTTCATGTAAAGTATACTGTATATTACATGCTCTGATTCTTCTAAGCACTGATCATGATAGAAGTTATCATGTGTGTGTAAGGTAAATCAAACCCCTTAGACAACAACTAGAATGTAACCAAAATAGCGAAAACCTACTTCTCCTTCCAAAATTTGAGTTGCGACATCTACACCACTTTTTGCAGGTATAAACAGAGGAGAAGGAGGTCTGTCAAGAAATGCATCAGTCTGTGTTTCCACATCAGCTTCTTCAACTCTGTCACTCAATTCCTCCAAATAAAGCTCAGTTTGTACATCAATATGTTTCCTTCCTTCAACAGGCTCTGGTGATCTTGGTTTCAACTGTGCCTTGGCACGTCTTCTGGCAATAGCTCTCCGCCTTGCTTCTTGTTGTCTCTGAATTTCTATGGGATCTGGTTGTGCTGTCTGTAAACCACAAAATGCACGTTTCAAATTTTGACTGACTACCACTTTTGCACCAACAATGATAATTAAGGATGACTTTTATTGTGTGCAGCAGAGAGAATTTAACAGATATCTTGATGAAACAAGTTCATTATCAATAGAGGTAGAATTAGCATAGTGAGTTGGTAACATGGGTGTACAAATTAAAATTTTATTTTGGGTTTGTATGTTATCTAAAGTATGTTTAAATGGTTTTAGAAAGATTTCCATATAACCCCATACATTAATTATGCATTCCATATCATAAACACCAAATATAAAGGTTTCTTTGCAACACTCTATACATAATTAATGCATGGGGTCATATGAAAATCTTGTCATAGTTTTTGCCCCCCTCCCCCCCTGAGATTTCTAAAGTTTCTATCCAACGGAGCAACAAAAAACTAAAGACTTCTGCAAATATTAACGATTCACTGCATTCCAAAAAAACTTACCGCTGGTAGAGTCTTTTGAGCATAAGTGTTACCCCTAACAATTCTCCGATCGTACATGATATTTCCGTAAGGTGTTGGACTCTCATTTCTGAAAAGCGACAAAAGAATTTAGTCTATTTGACTACAACAATCAAAGTCATCGCTACTTCTAAAATTTCAATATGCAAGTGTTCACCCTAACTAATTCACAAATAAAAAATCACAATACACTATGGCAAGTTAATACACGTGACATATAAAAAGTACCTGAGCAATAGTGAATACTGCGTTTATTTATGGATTGCTTTCGTTACGGCTAAACCTTTTAAGAATTACATTTTAAGAGGCGATACCAAGAAAAGCTCTGTTTTTCTATACATGATACACGCAATCTTGCGGTACACGTCGATATCGCAAACAGTAGTTTTTTCGGTAAAAGACGTGTTGAATTAAATTGAAGTTTGATATTGAAATCGATTTTTCACTGTTACATATCGATGTATGGTGGACAAGATTGTTATTTATAATCTGTGTCTCGCGATAGATATACTTGCTGGAAACTAGAATACGTAAACTACTTCACAAGTAAAAGGATTCGTCAGCACTTACTCTTGGGTTAGTGGATCCCGATATTTTTTTCTTTGTTGAACAGGTCGAGGTTGACTTGCAAATGTGTACGTTCTGGAGCCATCTCCTTTCTGAGCGACAACGGCCGTCATTTCGTACTGTTTTTAACACTCGGTTAACGATTTCAACTAACAGGAATAATTTGAAGCGGAAATATCGGTCGAGATAACCTTACGATATTAAAAACTCGATCAATAAATCTCTCTCGTTTTCAAAATCACCTAAACAACATGGCGTTGCCAATGATTCTGTTTGGAGGGAACAATACGTCACAGTTGTCATAACAATGACCATCGCGATAACTAAGGCGTTGCGACATTTAAACTAGGTTTTGATTGGTCACAAGGAGTTGGCTAATAAACCAATTAGAAATCAGTTTAGATATGTTGATTATAATTCAATTATGGCGGACGCGATGAGACCTTCTGGAAGCAATGAACTTGATCATCCAGAAGTTCTTTCGCGAGAGCGACTCTTAGACATTTTGTGCGATAGATCTATACCTCGTGAAGATCTTATATGTTTAGAAAAAGGTGATCTTGTCCAGATCTTTTATAAATATGTCACCCCTTTACCTCAAAGGCTTCATCAACTTCGTCGAGCAAGAAGACGGCAGCTTCCTTGTGGTGAACAAACTGTTGCTTCCAATGGGAAAACGTCGACAATAATTCGACCAACGAAGAGGTAAGAAGCTCTGTACCAAAATAATTATTTTCAAATCAATTCTTAGTGTGGTGCAACTCTCTTGAAATCGAGTCCACTTGTTTTGATCTGACGTGCTTGCAGGGGGATGGATGGACTAAAACGAAAAATTTTGATAGGCAACGTGCAATATGTATGGCAGGTAGAAAGGATCTTTATTTTTTTTTTAAAGCGTTATCGTTTTGATTTTCGTCTGTCTCAAACCTGATACTAATCAGTATTTACATCATTAGTTTGTTGATAAAATCTTTACTAAAGATCATCCTAAGGAATATTTATTTCCCGGAAGTAAGTGTGTGTGTCTACATGTCTTTTTTCATTTCCCATACGTGTATATGTGACATAATCAAGTAAGTAAGTAAGCGACCAAATTTGGACAGAATATGAAGAGATGAAGAAACTGAAAGGGACCTTAACAAGTCCCTAGTCAGGGAACTAGACATCGTTGAAGTTAGGCAATTAAAAAGTTTCAAGTTCTTGTAAATTCAGTTGGGAAAGGAATTAAATTGGTAACCTAAATTTCTTCACGGTGATGAAAGGAAGGTCAGTAAACAAGCTAAAAAGCCTCTTGACATCAGTATTTTATGTTAGAAGTGTACAAATAAATTTTGAAAAATAAATTCAGCTACTTAATATTGTTGTGTCCTCTTAAATATAGTGATATGAATTAACATCATTGTACTTTTCAATCAAAATTTTAGAAAATCTCATGAAAAATTAACCACAAGACCCATCAAGATCTCAAGAACAGAGCACAGTAACAGTATTAAAATCAACAGAAGTCCAATATCTTTTGGCTCAACTAGCAATGGAGTGAACTCTGTATCCATTCATACAACATCTCCAACTATGGACATTACTTCTGATCATGAAGGAAGAGCACAAAATAAATCAATCAAACCAAAGGTGGTAAAACTGAACAGAAAAACTTTAGGGCTTCATGTTGACAAATCATTTGAACATCAACAGTCAAAGAATGAGTCAAATTCAAGTTTTAATGGAGGGGCACAAAAGGTAAAAGAATATATATTGCAACCATTTTGCCAAGGAATTTCTAAATGATTTTTTAAGCCTATCTCAAAGTGATTGAGTTCTTGTCGTAAGATTTATTGCAAGCAATTTATATAATTATTGACATTGCCTATCCTAGCAGTATGCAGGACATGTATTTACCGTTCGTCGTTTTTGCCTCAATTTTTTTAAGAAGTTCAACAAAACCTATCATTTTACTTACTTTACTGCTGATTTACTTTTATTATAAGCTGCTATCTATTTATATGACCATTACAGTGTCCAACTAGAAAGCTTTTGCTACTTTGGACACCGTGCACCTCTCAAACTTATCTTTATGGCCAAATATTACTTTTATTCTTATCTCTCTCTCCTATTTTTCATATAAATATTAACTTCCAGTAATAGTGTGAAATAAATAAAAGGTCAAATTTCAAAAGTTCAAAGTTCAATAAAACTTCTTTACAAGCCATGCTCACCATAGAGTCTCTGCGGCTCAGTGGTAGAGCATCAGAGTGTGGAATCCGAAGGTCTGAGGTCAATTCCTCATGGGGACTCCAAATTTTTTCTTCGTCCCATGCTTGTGACAAGACAAAAAATCTCTCTCTATTTCTTCATTGGGCTCAAAACTTACCTTCTTTCTTATTCTATTTAGAAAACAATTTATTGCTTAGCAATCTTCCTCCATACTATACTCTTCATATTTAAATAACCAGCAATTCTCAGTATATCATTTTACCTATTTTTTAGACATTTATGATTAGTTATTGAACCTAAGGGGGTAATTATTTATTTGGCAGTTTTTAATTTTAGCCTTTTGAGGAGATAGAATTAAAATTTTAGATGACAGCTGTAATTAGTAAAATCTGTTTTTAGGGGATGAAAGTGTGCCACATAAAAGCTAAGATTTAATTTTGAAGCAGATTGTATAATTTCTGTTTGATTTGTTGCTTTGCAGGAAGTTTCTGCCTCCTCAACATCTGGTGATTCTGGCTCAGATGTCAATGATAGTAAATCTGGAAGCACAAAAAGAAAATTTGAGAAAGTAGCTGTCACATGGCCTTAAAACATTTAAATTTAGGTGAACTAGTCCTTATCATTGTGCTATGCAAATAATACATATTCAGTTGATAATATTTAAAGCTTTGTAAAAGCTGTATGAATTGACAAAAAACAGAATGTAATTTCAATTCACTCAAAAAGAGTTATTAATTAAAGATCGAATTGTTTACCTTCATGCTACAAGTTTTGATCTTTTATACTTTATATAAATGTCATAGATCTATTAGATGTTATTTTTTTGCGATTTTGTTACAATTGTATCATCATTTATCAACTTTTGAATATTTTGAAATGTGAGACAGCCAAGAAATGTGAAACACAGACTAGTAAAACGCGGACTAGTAAAACGCGGACTAGTAAAACGCGGACTAGTAAAACGCGGACTAGTAAAACGCGGACTAGTAAAACACGGACTAGTAAAACGCGGACTAGTAAAACGTGGACTTAACAACAACAACAACAACAAAAAACAATTTCATATGAAGGCGATCACAAGACTTAATGGTGAGCCAATTCAGTGAGTGACAATCCTTGTTTGACCTTTAAGCTACAAATGAGTTTGACATGCGCCAGATACAAACGATTTT